GAGAGAATAGGATGTGGCACAACAAATTTATTCTAATAGTTTCTTTTCTCACCCTTCTCATCTCTCGAACTCTTTTCTGGTTTCTTTCTTTCCAGTCAGCTACAATCTTGAAAATTTTAAATGCAACTCCAATCAACATCTGTTTTTGTGAATCCTGTTCTTCCATTGTCCTTTTCTCTTTGCTAAAGTCTCCTCATTCTCTTCTCAATAAACCATTGTATCTTAGCATCATTATTGCCTTGCTAGGGGGTGAAATGATTAAAATAAAATAAAAAAAAATCATGCAAGATATTTTGGAGTCATTTTGAGGGGGAAAATTTGAGGTTTTAAATGACATGAAATGTGTTTTTTTTTGTTTTAATTTTATGTTGCAAGAATAAAAGGAAATAAACTAGTAAAAAAATAATAATGTACTAAATTACTTTCACTAAATAATAAGCTATAGTCAGTCTGTAGAAATATATTAAACCTTCATTTGCCAATACATCAACTGCTTTCTCAATAATAAATAATGTCATATTCATTTTCATGTTTGTTTATTTCCACTATTTTTATGATCAACCATTTGAAAAGAAAATCAAATTTAAATGTCATTTAATCACACTCCTGAGAGTTTAAAATATTATTGTCTGTAATTTCTGAAGATGTGTTTGTCATTCTTTACTTATCGTATTGGCATCATTATCATCATCAAGTGAGACTTCTGTTATGTTTTCTTAACGATTCATCACATGTATTTTCCTTTTCAATATATTTTTAGAATGTCTTCATCTATGGATATTTCTTATGAGTTGCAGAGTTTTTCAAACTTTTTAATTTCTTAGCATAACATTTTGGTTAATATATACTTCAACTTTCCTGCAGTATGGTAATTTTTTGAGTTAAGCATTATTATTATTATAATACTGTTATTTTAAGGAATATGGACATTACCGAAGTTCTATCAAACAATAGATACATCAGCTGAAATGGTATAAAATAAAAATCCTAACTTCCATACAGGGAAGAATTGGACCATGTGTTTTCGAAGGAGTTGTCTAATAAAAAGGAAAATTTTTAACATCAATGATACATAAAAGGAAGGCTGAAGAAATACATCAGCTGAAATGGTGGGATAAAACAGCAAAGATGAAGATTTAAATTGTTTTTGTTCCAACTTTTATATGGTGTTGTGTTCTTATTTTAAGGAGATGACTAAGAAACTTCTCTTGGACCACTGAGTGTAAGATATACATGAGGGAGGCTGAAGAATTTATCACCTGAAATGGTGGGATAAAAACAAAATTATTAAGGTGCTACAATAGACAGGACATTTAAAGTCTAAGATGAAGATCATAACTTTCATATGGTGTTGTATTAAAGTTTATTTCTTATAAAGGAGATGAGTAATGCCTTTATTTTTGTTAAAAAAGAAAAAGTAATTTCAAAAATTACCAATTTGGTGTGTATGATATACATGAGGAAGGCTGAAGGATACATCAGCTGAAATGGTTTTGGAGAATAAAAAAGGTTATTATTAATAATGGCATTGTTCATATGTATATATAAAAGTTAGATTTATTTAATTCCAACATTTAAAATATTCTGCATGATATTGATACAAACAAATCAGTTTTTGTTTTTAAGTCTGTAATTATAGAATGATTCTTTTGTTTTGAAGAAATAAATGCTTCTCAACGTCAAATATAAGAAAACATGAGACTTGCTAGATGCACTCTAATTTTGCAATTTTTTTCTCAAATCTAAAAAATGCACCACATTTTTTAAAATCATTTAAGAATTTGGAATTTGGTTTTAAAATTATTTTTGTTCCATTTAATTCTAATATTCACAAAGACTTCCAACAGCTAATGGATGTCTTTTTACAGGTTGCCCACTAAAGGCTTATTTATTTATTGTCAGTTTTGATATTAAAAATTTATTCACTTATTTTAAAGATTTATGTGTCACTATCTTTCTGGATGAGCAACAACTCTTGGGTTTTTAGGGGATTATTTTTTGCAACACCAGCAAACATGTGAACAATGTGAAGTTTCTAGGACTCAGATCAATGAAGAAAATGGGCTTGGAAAATTTGATTCTCAAAGGACAGGCAAGAGAATCACAAAAGGACTTCACAGAAGAAAACTATCTGGTGAGCCCATTAATTAGAAGGAATGGATGGCAGACACATGGGTTTGGGAGAGATAATGAAAAAAATGGACAAAATTATTTAAAGTGCTACAATAGACAGGACATTGGATGGAGGGCAGATCATGATCACTAACGTACCTGAAGTGTTCAACCATTTTCTCAAATCCAATGATTAAAAAATGGACACAGAATATAGAAGAAAAAGCAAGGATATGTCAGGGTATTTTTAAAGTCAGAAAAGACATCATTAGTAACAACAACTAAAATGGATGTTTGAATTTCTTGAATACACATGGGTGATTATTCAACCATTTTACATTAATTACAAATGGGGAAACAATGCCTTTATTTTTTGTTGTTATCACAGTCCCAAAAAGAAGACTTTGGCCAACTAAAATCCATAGGACAATAAGGCAGTTAATTAAATTGTTGGTTAATCAATTTGGTCAGATCAATAATTAAAAATGTTCAATCACCAGGTCTTAAAGCAGTACAGACTCAGACAGAACAAGGAATAACTAAAATGGATAGCCCATATATTTAGAGAACTAGACAGGAGATTTGTAAAACATGGGTTCAGTTTAAATTCCATCAATGATTGCCCAGATTAGGTAAAATGGATAGCAAAGATACTTGAATTTTTTCCAGAGGGATACCCATATAATTAAATGGTTTCACTGGCTTTTTTGAAACATGGGCTTGAGATGCAGATCAATGAAAAAATGGTTCAACAAGAATGGTAACCACCCTAACAGAAAACATTGATAGGCCATATCAGATCGTAAAATCCCATTACAAAAGTTGGTGCTACTCAACCAACCAGATTAACATTGGTTTTTCAAAAATTACTGGAAGACTTCCAACAGCAGCAACAACTAAAATGGATAGCCCATATAATTAGAAGGGAAAATAACCCACTACAATGATGCACTCTAATTTTGACACATGGGCATTGGGTATTCAACCATTTTCTCAGATCAATGATTAAAAATGGTTCCAAGCAAATGACTCCTCTAGGTCTTAAAGAAGGCTGGCACTACAGAATCACAAAGAAGACTTCCAACAGCAGCAACAACTAAAATGGATAGCCCATATAATTAGAAGGAAAAAACCCACTAATCCACCACAATGATGCACTCTAATTTTTCCAACAGACACATGGGCATTCTAATTTTTAACAACCATTTTCTCAGATCAATGATTAAAAATGGTTCCAAGCAAATGACTCCTCTAGGTCTTAAAGAAGGCTGGCACTACAGAATCACAAAGAAGACTTCCAACAGCAGCAACAACTAAAATGGATAGCCCATATAATTAGAAGGGAAAATAACCCACTACAATGATGCACTCTAATTTTGACACATGGGCATTGGGTATTCAACCATTTTCTCAGATCAATGATTAAAAATGGTTCCAAGCAAATGACTATCTAGGTCTTAAAGAAAGCTGGCACTACAGAATCACAAAGAAGACTTCCAACAGCAGCAACAACTAAAATGGATAGCCCATATAATTAGAAGGAAAAAATAATCCACCACAATGATGCACTTTTGACTAATTTTTCAACCATTTTCTCAGATCACAAAATGGTTCATGGGTCTTAAAGGTATTCAATCATTTATAGGGCAACAACTCCCATTAATTAGCTAAATAATAGCTCAGCATACTTATTTTTTTCTCAGATCAATGATTAAAAATGGTTCCAAGCAGTGTATCTCTACTCAGGCTGACATTAGGGATCAGATAAAAGACACAATAAAGGAATTCAATTTTGACTGGCTGAGCTATCATGGAAAGGATAGATAGAGAAAGGTTATTCAAAGTGTTGGTTCTTACATTTCAAGCAATGTAGATGTGTTGACTTTCATATCTAGAAACTGTTCCCAGTGGAGGGAGAGAGCAACACCATTGGCTAGTTAGAAGATGTATATATTGACTTTAGTAAACTAGCTAAGTTAAAATTCCTTATCTTGAAGTTCTTTTTATCTCTGAACCAAAACAAATGGCAATAACTGGCTGAGAGAGAAGAATGCAATTTTATTATAGAATTAAATCCATTGCCCCAATTCCACCCCCACCAAGGGGCTATGCAACACTTAGTTATTGAACAACAATGTTACCATCACTGAAACTGCAGCAGTGGTTAAAGTACATCAGCAAGGAACTGTGGAAGAATAATACTATGTTGCTGTTTCTGGAATATGGTTGAGTTTATGTGCCAAGATGTCCTCATATAGCTATGGATCCAGCCTTACTGTGCAAAGCCTCCCTATAATAATGTGAATTGCATCCAAGGAAATTGTGATAGGACTATAATTGAAAATGGCATCTGTCTTGACAGGTTTCACTTGCACAGATCCTGTTGTCAAACATTTGCATCTCTTTATGTTTGCTACATTTCCAGATTATTGTTTTGTTTCATTAAAAAGAACATAAACTTATTCCAAATCATGTGAACGAAATGCATTCTAATAACATTTGGTTGACTACAAGGTATACCGCTGGGTCCTGTGCATGACAGTTTAAAACCCCATTGAGCATATAGCAGATATGTTGTAGAGTTTAGTAAATTCCCTGCAGTTGAACCCAATAAACACAAGTTGGGTTATGGCCAACCCTGGAAATACCTACATAATGGTTGCAGCACTTTGCAAATTTTTGCTACATTGCACAGCTGCAGTTATTCAGGTTAAGGGAAGAGAAAATTTTCTGGAAATATTTTTGTACCTTAGTTTAATTAATTAATTAATTAAATATTTCATTTGTAATTATCAGACTAATCTGATTATTAAAATGATTTTGCATTTAATTATCAGGAATATATACGAGTAATTAAACATTCTGTGTATATTTTTTCAGGGGAAAAAATGATTCATATTGAAATGTATATCAGTTCTTGTTGTGTAATATTCTTTTCTCCTCCTTTTCTTTTTGTTTTTTTTTTCTTGTTTTTTTTTTTTCTTCTCCTTTTCTTGTTTTCTTTTAGTCTAACTTTCCTTTTTTGACACATTTTTTTCTTTTTCTTTTTTTTAAAATAAATTTTTTTCTCCTTTTTCTTGTTTTTCTTTTTCTTCTCCTTTTTCTTGTTTTTCTTTTTCTTCTCCTTTTTCTTGTTTTTCTTTTTCTTGTTTTTCTTTTTCTTCTCCTTTTTCTTGTTTTTCTTTTTCTTGTTTTTCTTTTTCTTCTCCTTTTTCTTGTTTTTCTTTTCCTTCTTTTTCTTGTTTTTTTCTTCTCCTTTTTCTTTTCCTTCTTTTACTTGTTTTTTTTCTTCTCCTTTTTCTTTTCCTTTTTCTTCTTTTACTTGTTTTTTTTCTTCTCCTTTTTCTTGTTTTTCTTTTCCTTTTTCTTGTTTTTTTTTTCTTCTCCTTTTTCTTGTTTTTCTTTTTCTTCTCCTTTTTCTCCTTTTACTTGTTTTTCTTGTATTCCTTCCTTTCTTCATTTTTGCCATACATTTTCTTTTACTCAGGTATTCTTACTTATTCATTAAATAACTTGTTATTTTCTTCATTCTTATTCATTAATTTTTATAAATATTTCTTTCTTTTTCCTCAGTTCAAAATTCTCACTGACTTTTATTCATTTTTCTTATTCTTATTTTTCATTTGCCAATCATTGTTTGAGCTTCTTTTTCTCACATAGACTTTCTACTTTCTCACATTTATTTTTCTACCTTTCTCATAATTTTCCTTTTCTTTCCTTTCTTTCTCATAATTTTCCTTTTCTTTCCTTTCTTTCTCATAATTTTCCTTTTCTTTCCTTCCTCATAATTTTCCTTTTCTTTCCTTCCTCATAATTTTCCTTTTCTTTCCTTCCTCATAATTTTCCTTTTCTTTCCTTCCTCATAATTTTCCTTTTCTTTCCTTTCTCATAATTTTCCTTTTCTTTCCTTCCTCATAATTTTCCTTTTCTTTCCTTTCTCATAATTTTCCTTTTCTTTCCTTCCTACATTTATAATCAATCCTTGCTTTCTTCCTTCTTTTTTATTTGCTTTGTTCTTATTATTCATCTATCTTCAATTCATTTTCGTCTTTTGTTTGAATTTTCTCTTTCCTCCATCTTTATTTCTTTTTGCTAATTTTGGGATTTCTTTCTTTCTCATTGATTCCTACTTTTTTCATTTTTCACTTTGAAGGAGAGGAGGAAGGAGAGAAAGAATCTTTCTTTACATTTTTTGTTACTTCTCACTGTCTCACAATTTCCCCCCTCACCTTCAGTCTTTTCTTTTACTCCTCTTTTTTTCTTTCCTGTTCTTTTTTTCTTCCCTTTCAGTCTTTCTTTTACTGTCTTTTTTTTCCGCTTTCTCCTCCTTCCCTTTCAGTCTTTCTTTACTGTCTTTTTTTCCTTCCCTTTCTCTCTCACCCTTCCCTTTCAGTCTTTCTTTACTGTCTTTTTTTCCTTCTTGCTTTCTCTCACTCCTTCCCTTTCAGTCTTTCTTTACTGTCTTTTTTTCCTTCTTGCTTTCTCTCACTCCTTCCCTTTCAGTCTTTCTTTACTGTCTTTTTTTCCTTCTTGCTTTCACTCACTCCTTCCCTTTCAGTCTTTCTTTACTGTCTTTTTTCCTTCCCACTTTCTCTCACTCCTTCCCTTTCAGTCTTTCTTTACTGTCTTTTTTTCCTTCTTGCTTTCACTCACTCCTTCCCTTTCAGTCTTTCTTTACTGTCTTTTTTTCCTTCTTGCTTTCCTCCTCCTTCCCTTTCAGTCTTTCTTTACTGTCTTTTTTTCCTTCTTGCTTTCACTCCTCCTTCCCTTTCAGTCTTTCTTTACTGTCTTTTTTTTCCTTCTTGCTTTCCTCCTCCTTCCCTTTCAGTCTTTCTTTACTGTCTTTTTTCCTTCTTGCTTTCCTCCTCCTTCCCTTTCAGTCTTTCTTTTTTGTCTTTTTTTTCCTTCCCACTTTCTCTCCTCCTTCCCTTTCAGTCTTTCTTTACTGTCTTTTTTCCTTCTTGCTTTCCTCCTCCTTCCCTTTCAGTCTTTCTTTATTGTCTTTTTTTTCCTTCTTTCTCTCACTCCTTCCCTTTCAGTCTTTCTTTACTGTCTTTTTTTTCTTCTTGCTTTCCTCCTCCTTCCCTTTCAGTCTTTCTTTACTGTCTTTTTTTTTCCTTCTTGCTTTCCTCCTCCTTCCCTTTCAGTCTTTCTTTACTGTCTTTTTTTCCTTCTTGCTTTCTCTCACTCCTTCCCTTTCAGTCTTTCTTTACTGTCTTTTTTCCTTCTTGCTTTCACTCACTCTTTCTGTCCCTCCTTCATTTTTTTCTTTACTTTCTTTTCTTCTTTCTCACTCATTCCTTCTCTCTTTCAACCTTTTACTTTTTCTTTCTTCTCACTTTCTCTCAATCCTTCCCACTTTCTTTCAGTCTTTCTTTACTTACTTTCTTTCCTTCTCACTTTATCATTATTTTTCCTGCTTCTCCTTTTCTATTTGTGTTTCCCATTTTTGCCAGGAAAAAATGTGAGCCGCTGATGTAGGCAAAACCTTCCACGCAAAAGATTCTCTCGTTAAATTGATTAAAACAACATTGTTACCTAAATAATAATTAATGAAGTATTACAACAACAGACATTTGTACGAAAGAAAGTAAAAACGAAAAAGTCAGCAATAAAAACAAAAAAAATTTCACATTTGGCTTTCTTAAAAAATAAAATGACATCGAAATGGAATTCTGGGAAATGCAGATGTCGAAAGGTGAGGAAGAGAAAGAAGAAAAAGAAAACAAATCTGATGTAAAGAAAAAAAAAAAAGCAGGGCTTGTTTAAAATATTTTAACATAGAAGATAACTTATAAATAACCAGCAGCTTTTCTTGACATGAGAAAAAGACTTCAATTAGAAATTAAAGATGTATATGATGTAGGTTTTTTTTCTATTGAATCAATTAAAATTTAAAGATAGATATATCTAAGCCATATTCAACTCTTTTCTCAGAACAATGATTACAAATGGTTGTGAGCAAATGGCTCCTCTATGTCTTAAAGAAGGCTGGCATTGCAGAAACACAAAGAGCTTTACAAAATGACAAATTTTACTTGAAGACTTCCAACGGCAGCAACAACTTAAATGGATAGCTCAACTAGAAGGAAAAATAACCCACCACAATGATGCACTCTAATTTTGACACATGGGCATTGGGTATTCAACCATTTTCTCAGATCAATGATTAAAAAATGGTTCCAAGCAAATTTCTCTAGGTCTTAATGAAAGCTGGCACTACAAATCACAAAGAAGTTCCAACAGCAGCAACAACTAAAATGGATCCTATGAATTAGGGAAAATAACCCACTAAAATGATGCACTCTAATTTTGACACACATGGGCATTGGGTATTCAACCATTTTCTCAGATCAATGATTAAAAATGGTTCCAAGCAAATGACTCCTCTAGGTCTTAAAGAAGGCCAGCAAGACTTCCAACAGCAGCAACAACTAAAATGGATAGCCTATATAACTAGAAAGAAAAATAACCCACCACAATGATGCACTAATTTTAACACATGGGCATTGTATATTCAACCATTTTCTCAAATCAATGATTAAAAATGGTTCGAAACAAATGATTCTTTCTTAAAGAAAGCTGGTACTACAGGATCACAAAGAGCTTCAGAAAATGACAAAAATTCCAACACTTGAAGACTTCCAACAGAAGCAACTAGCTCAGGTAATGAGAAGTGAAAATAATGATCCAAAATAACGATATGTGTCCACTCTACTCAGATTTTTTGTTAACAAGGTATCAGCTAAAAACTGATATACAAGTCATTATCACTGTGCTTACAACACGGAGGAGATGATTTACAATCTCTGTGAAAGCTGTTGTTTATTTTACCTGAAATTTCTTACTATTTTACCTGCTTCCTGTTAAGCCCACAGTAGAATGTTTTCATTGTTCTGTTAATTTTTCCTCTGTGTTACATATTTTGTTCTCTGTTATGTCTGCAGAAAAATGGATAGAAATGAAACTGATTTTGTAATTTCCAAAGTTGTAAGGCATAAATGTTTTTTTCTTGTGTTGCTCATAATTTAAAGAACAAAATATTTTTTTAAAGTTTCAGATCAGAATAAAACTTCATCTGGAAGCAGAATTATTGATTTTAAGTGACCTTTTCAACTTCTACAATGTGCTAGAAAATGAAATAAGGATAAGCAATAATGCATTTCAAAAGTCATTGATGGTACAAAGTTCATCAAGTAATATCCAGTAGGTGTGTCCTATGTGTTTTACTGTGACTCATGATTTAAAAAATCTGCTCATTTGAGAGAATTGACTTTTGTACTATTTTATTACAGTGTTATTGAAGTCTCTGAGAGGATTTTCTGCCTTGAAATAAAAACAGAACAGAAATGAAATTTAGCAAAATCAAAATTGTGACCGAGATCAAAATTCTTTTTTTTTCTTTTTTAGGTTAACTTTTAATCTCACTTGTATGTATGAGTTTCTCCAGCTAGAAATGCCAAATTTATTCCAACTGAGAGAAAGAGAATGGGAGAGGGAAAAAGAAGAGAAAAAGAGAAGGCGTTATTAAATTTTAATTTCTCTTTTTTTTTTTTTTGAGAACAATCTCTTAGATTACATTTTATGATTTCATGAATTAAATATAGAATTCATAACTATTATATTGTATTATGTTATAATTATTAATATTAAAATAACTTATCCAACTTGATAGAATTAGAAGTCCTACCAGGATTCATTATTGGTGTTCATAATCTTAACAACATTAGATATGCAGATGATGCAGTGTTGATAATAGATACAGAAAAAAAACTGCAGGGACTCATACAGAATGTGAGAGAACGTATGGTTTTCAGCAAAAGGAATGGTTCAACTCGCAAATTATAAATTGGAGACACCAAAATTATGTAAGTACAAAATTTTGAAATCAATTTGGATAATGAAAGATGTATTCTAAAAGCTAAGCAAAATATTAAGAAACAGGAAAATTTTATTAGAAAAATGTACTGAATTATTATGTTATATGGCAATGAATGCTGGGCAATCCCATCACAGATGAAGCAAAGACCTCAGACAATAGAAGTGTAGTTCTACAGAAGGATACTGAGAATATAATGGACTGAATATATGAGCAACAGTGAAGTTTTAGAGAAAATAGAAACAAAGGACTCTCATACTTATGTTCAGAAAGGGATAGCTGAAATTTTGCTTTTGCCATTTAGCCAATAGTTTCTTCATATGTTCCATCCTAAATTGGCATTCGAACAATTGATGCAAACATTGTTTGAGAAGGATTATTGAAGTGTTAAAAGGGAAAAATGATGCATGCAAGTGGGGACAGACAGACATTCCTAGACATGGAGGTGCGGGTATATTATTGCAGCCATGTACACCAAGGCAATACCAGTTACCTCAGCTAGTAAAAGATATATTCAAAAAGACAACTAAATACCAATTCGAAAAAAGAGTAAACTAATATCACTGAAGACTGTAAATTTTCCAGTTTGTTCTAAACAGCTGTTGGTTATTCTATAACATTGTTAATGTTCTTCAGTTGGTGTTACAGTATATCAGTTGACTTCTTAAAGTCATTGCTGTAGCAACTGTAGTGTTGAAAACTGAGGACTGTTTTTTTTTACTAAATATTCATCAAATACAAGGCTCAAGAGTCGCTCAAGTTAGAGGGTTACTGAATGAGGTTGTTGGAAGAAGATTAGACATGTAAGGGAGAATTACATGAAGATGATATGTGCAATAGGTAATGGTTGACTCTAAACTTGAAGATTGTATCATTCATGGAAGCATGGAGGTCTCTTCCATAAAGTGGTGGCTCTTCTTGAAAAGAAGCTGTTTGAGATAAAATTCCTTCTTACTAATATGAAGGGAATGAGATGGCATTGATTCAAAAATTCTTCTAAGTTTCTCTGTCTCTCTCTTTCCCTATATATATATATATATATATATATATATATATATATATATATATATATATATTCACACATACAAGTAAAATAAATTAAACAAGTAAAATGAAGTAACCAAAACAAATAAATAATTAAACCACTCCCGAAAAAATAACAGCCAGAATAGATTACCCACAATGCACCATTGACCCATACAATTATAAATAGACAAGGAAAAATCCAGCATTCGAGGCCTGACGATTGCATCCAGCATGAAACAGCCTGTCGCCTCTGAGTGTTGACTTCAATGTTCATTTTTATATTTATATTTACATACGCTCTATCTCTGATAGTGAGCACTTTATCCCATAACTATAGCACACCTTAAAACTAAGCACTTGAGCACTTTATGCTATAAATATAACACACCTTAAAACCATATTTATTCATATATATATATATATATATATATATAGTAAAGGTAACAAATCCATTGATATATAATCCAAGTGGATCCTAGTAAGAGCTCAATATATTTATTATGGCAAAGCGAATAATCAATAAACAATAAAATACAAAATCACCTCATATGAGGAATAGCCTATTTCAGCAGACAAAGATATCGATGTGGACTGAATTCATGTCAGAAACAGAAATTTAACCGTGAAAGCTAAAAAAACAAAAAAAATAAAAATAAAATCAGTTGTAAAACTGATACAGAATTTATCCATTTCAATGTTTCAGTCAGACGAAAAGCACAAGACAGGGGTCAGGGGAAGGTATTTGTTTCGCACATACTCCTAGTAGTCTTAAAGATAGGTGGGACTTATGTTTAGCAGAAAAAATTAGAATAATAAAATACAATAATCAAAGCCAATTATTAAATCAGAGGAATGAATTAGTGTTAAAATGTCGGCATAAAAACAAATTTAAATTTCTATAATATACATTTAACTTAATTAGCTACTATATTTCAATAATATTCACTCCCCATCTAACTCTTCAACATTATAACTAATTCTAATTTATTTATTCCCTGCTCTATAACCATTTTACACTATATTAATTATACTTTTTAAATTTTCCCCTACTCTAAGTTCTCCCCACTTTTTTCTCATTAATCCATTATATCCTTTTTATTCCTCTTTTAATTTTAAATTAATATTTCATTCTTCATATGAAGCCAAATTAATGTCAAAAGGTCAATATTTAGCTTTAATCTTATAAAACTTCTTCCTTTAATACCTTCCACCCTCCCCTGACCCCTGTCTTGTGCCTTTTGTCAGACAGAAACACTGAAATGGATAAATTCTGTATTAGTATTAGTTTTTTGACTGGTGATTTTAAAAAATTTTTTTTTAGCTTTCACAGTTAAATTTCTATTTCTGACATGAACTCAGTCCACACTGGGGTTGATAAGAGAGACAACCAATATCTTTGTCTGCTAAAATCGGCTATTTCTATATGAGATGATTTTGGATTTTATTGTTTTTATATATATATATATATATATATATATATATATTTTAAAGAAAAACAGACCACTTAAGGTTCCATTATAATAATTTATTTCACCAGAGCCCTTTTAAAGGATGCTGGATCATCAGATAGC